TGGCTTCGCCCCACATACAAAGAGAAGGAAAGGTTGAGAAAATTCGCGGGGAAACTAAACGCCATGATTCGCCCCAATGCCTGGATTTTGTTTAATTTTCTCTTATTTTGGGGGGAATCCAAGGGTACAGCAACGGAATTAGTCGAAGGAATTTACGTCACAGTTAAGCGTAAAGGAAAATTGAGAAAGAAGGGTAGGACTGATTACTTGATGTAAAAAATAATGAGGAATGGAAGGGAGGGGGGTGACTTTTGATCCTGAGTCATGGTTGTTTTTATGTTCATAGAAATGATTATTGACTTTCAATTAGTAGGAAAAGGGAGGGTGGAGAGTTAACCTTAGCCTTAAATTAAGTTAGCTGAGAATGGTTAATGGTTAAAAGCAAAATGAATGTGCTAGACATCTGTCATATAGCACTATTGGAAGGTGAAAGGTAATCAAGAATGGTTGAATTAGTAGTTAGTTGCTATGCATCAACTATCTACATTAATATTGAAAAGGTTAAAGAAGGGTAAAGGAGTTGATGAGTAAATGGTTTACGGTGGAGTTAGGTAAGGGGATTAGATCAAGTGAAGGATATGGATGCATCTGAGGAAGGAGAACATTTCAAGCAGAGGAGGATGTGTCAGAAAAGTCTTTTGGGGGTAGATGATGGATGGGTTATAGGAAGAAAGGATATGCCGAAGGTCAGGTTAGAGACAACGGAAACCGCGAATTATTAGTTGATCTACGAGTGATAACGGTTACAGTGCGCTTTGGAGAATTTGAAGGGGTAGGAGCTACGGGGTGAGATAAGGAATTGGAGGGGGGATGTAGTACCAGGAGGGATATCAGGAGGAGGAGCTGGGGAAGGGCATAGCTGCGACATAAGGGATTCACGTGTGTATCCGGGAGAGAGTGGGAGGGATAGAGGGAATGGAGGGAGGGTTAATGTCGTTGGAGCTGAGGGGAATGGGCTGTGTTGGGAGGGAGTAGGAGGAAGGGGTGTAGGGGAAAATGAGTAGGAGGAGGATGAATATCGGCAGTCACTTTGAGTGTGGAGGGAGCAGTTGTGGAATTTGAGGGTAGATGGGACTCAAGCAGATAGTTTTGAATATCTTTAAAAGTTTCTGAAACGGAGTGGAGTTTTTTTAAACAAAAATTTTCTTATGAGGAAGAGAGGAGACTGGTGTCTTGAGAAGTGGAGGCAAAGGTAGGCGGAGGTTAGTGTGCAGTGGGAAAAGAAAGGGTGGAACGTTTAGTCTGTCAGCTTCGGGTAGTGCGGGGAGGGAGAGGGGAAGGCGTTAAGGCTGCAGTAGAGATTGGGGTGTCTGAATCTAAAGTGGAAAAAGAATTTGACTGGAGAAGCTGCGAGGTAGAAGTGGGGAATTAAGATGTAGGAGGGATAGGTATAAGGGAGGGTGTAGGAACATCTTGGGAGGGAGGGGGAGGGGCCGAGCGACATTATTGGAGTAGGGAGTATGAGAAAAACCTAGTCGACGTGCTTCCTGTCAAGCTTCACGTAGTGCGTGACCAAGTCTGTATCTGAGAGTTGCCACTTCGACTCAAACTTGTAGGTGTGGCATTCCCTATAAAATACATTATGGGGGCTGCTGCAGTTAGCACATGTGCGTGACTGTGCAAAGCAGTTTGATCGGTTATGACCTGGTTAGGCACAAAGAGGGCATCGGACTGTGGAAAGGCAGTGTTTGGCAGGATGTCCTAAATGCCAACAGTTTTGACATTGATGGGGAGGAGGTTGATATGGTCAGACAGGGAGGGATTCTCCACCAATGTAAATATTAAAGGGAAGGTCATATTTACGGAAAGTGGTTTTGGCAATGTTGGTTTGGTTCTTAGGATGCCCTCTAGGAGAAATGAGGTTGCACTGTACATAGTCTGTGAGGCAGGCGAGTAAGTCTTTTTCCACAATCTGACCAATCATATTGTTCTAGATAGGGCAGTCTGCTGGGGAGAAAGAGACAGTTCCGGTACAAGTATTAAGGGTTGGATGAGGTTCTGCAGGAATGGGGATTCCAGAGAGATCAGTGAGAGTTGATAATGCTATAGCTTGGGTTTCGGATGTAACAGTAACAAGGCAGGAAGGATCAGGTCAGTTATGGAAAGAGACTTTTCCTACTTGTTTTCGGAGCTGTGGGGGGATCACGAAAAATTGGTCCCATTTGGCTGGACTAAATAGAATATATAAGATAATTGTAGGTATAGTGGTGGTAGAAGGACGAGGACATGTGAAAAAGGGAGTATTGTTGATGGAGGTAGTATTGTGGAGAGGTGGGTTATAAGGCTGTAAAGTAGTGGTGAGGGAGGATGGGGGGATTGATGAAAGTTATGAGGTAGAGATGATGAAGTTGAGGGAAGTTGGGAGAATAGGAATGTCTCCTGTAGACTTAAATGATGCTACTCAAATAAAAATTAGGTAGTTCAAAGTTTGGTCTTCTCAAAATTTCCTTTAAATCCAAAATCAGAATATAAATTTTGAAAGGATTGCCTACTCTTAACTATTTTGTAGGTCTCCTAGACATACTGGCAACAGTAACGTAATTTAGTAAAAATATATTGTATTTTGTATATGATTAACGATGTCATATATCACTGGTGTCATTAGTGGATTTGTGAAGCTTATAAAAAAAATTGCGGGTTTAAAAATTCTTACATTGGTAGGCAGTGGTTTGGGATTGCCTTGTTTCTTGTTAGCGTGAGAATTTTCATTGGATGCAAAATTAATATCGATGAATGGGATTTTGTTATATCAAACAAGAGATTATTGTGCATGGCATACGTGGTTCTTGAGATGTTGGCATCAGTGATGAGACAACTTTGGACATGCAGCACCAAGCCTTAACCGCAAACCTGTTGCCGGGAGAACGTGGCGTCACCTCTCAGCAGACTGATGAGGCGTTGGCATTGGTGAAAAAGTAACTACGGATTTGTGGAGCAGTGCCTAGGCACTCAAGTAAAGGTGGTTGGAGGGCATGTTCAGTTAGTTGGATCAGCTATCTCCTAAGCCGGGACAGCATCCAGGAGTTAATCAAGCCAACCAAGAATAGCTGGGCTAACCAGAAAAAATACCAATGGTGCAGTCGTCGGATTGCAGTAGAAATCCGTAAACTGACAAAGGAATATAGGTAGCAACCCTTTTACACCTTTGCTTAGCCCCAAGGTTAATGCTAGGTCACTTTTACAGTCTAACTAGTTCTTTCCATAGATAGGAGAATAAGTAAGGGAGACGGACAGTTTCAGTACAAGTATTAAGAGAGGTGTGAGGTTCGGTAGAAATAGGTTTGCCAGTAAGATCAGTCAGGAGAAATAGTGCACGAGCTTGGGACTCAGATGTAGCTGTGACAAAGAGTGAACATTCGGAACTGCAAAAGGAAAGCCTACTTGTTTTGGGAGACATTGTTGGAAGAGAAGTGTATTGTCAGAGCAAGGGGCTGTAGGGGAATCACAAAGAATTGATCTCACTTGGCTGGGCCAAAGAGAGTACTCAAAAGGTTTGCAGAGGTGGAACCAGTAGGCCAGGGGAAGAAAGATGGGTAGGTGTGGGGTGAGGTAGCACTGTGGGGAGGAGGATAATAGTAAAGAGGAGGGAGGGAGGTAGACAATAAAGAAGACAATGGAGATAGGCTGGCTGATGATGGGACAAACCTCAATGACCTTAATAAGGGTAACAAAATCTTTATTAACCATGGTATGCCTACAATGATTGGAGAAAAGAAACGGTCTACCCCTCAGTGTCACCATATGGGGTAAGGGTTAGGCAATTAACCAAGGAAATACCGTGCCCATAGTTCATGGAGGCTGTACAAGGCTGACACAAAGCCAGCCTTTCATCCTTTGCTCTTACGCCTTAGGATTTAAAGGGGATGGAAAAGAGAAGGATATGGTTAATGTGTGAAACAAACAAATGTGCTAGACATCAATGGGTAGAGGGGGAGCAAACGAGGTAAATTGGTTATTAGCAAAGGAAAGGGGTAAGGGCATAGGGCGACTGAATGAAATGGCGTGTATCTGTAGGAACATTTTTTAAGGAAAGCTGGCAAAAGAGCTATTATGAAACGATAAACAGGTAATACGGTTAGAGAAGCCAGAGTAGAACCCAGAGAATGAGATAAGGGGACTGGGGAAGGTGGTGAAGTATCAGGAAGAATGTAAGGAGGGCAGGGATCCAGAGGAGGACATTGTTGCGACAGAAGAGATTCATATAAACATCCAGGTGGGACACGTAAGGATAATTGGGAACGGAGAGGGAGTGGTGCACATGGAGGAGACAATGGGGTATACTGGGAAAAAGTGAGAGGAAGAGGAGTAGGGGGAACTTGAGGGGGAGGAGATCGATATCGCCAAATACTTTGAATGTAGAGGGAATAAGAATAGAAGGATTGAAGGGTGGGTGAGGGTGCGGAACTATCTCTTGGAATTTTTGGATGTATTCTTGCCGTAGAAAGAATAATCAGTTGTGGAGATGGAAACAGTTCCGGTACAAGTATTAAGAGAGGAGTGAGGTTCGGCAGGAATAGGTTTGCCTGTGAGGTCAGTCAGGGTAGATAGTGCACCAACTTCTGACTTAGATGTAACTGTGACAAGGCGAAAATTATCAGAACGACTGTGAAAGGAACTTTTCGTACTTGTTTTGGAGGCATTGCAGGAAGAGAAAGGTATTGTCAGAGTAAGGGGCTGTGGTCGGGAATTCCAAAGAATTGATCCCACTTGGGCAAAATTTGGGGGGAAAGAGAAGGAAAAGGAAAGGGGGAGAAGAAAAGACCAAGCAAAATTAATTGAGGCGACGGCTGAGGCAAGGGTGTGTCCCCTATACTGTCTGTCACCGTCTCCCCACCCACGACAACACGAAGCAAGGTGAGGCAAGCAACAAACCGGTGTGTCTGCTTATTATTTGATCCATTAAATTGATTGCTATTTTTTTTCTAGGTTTCCTAAACATTTAAAAAAAATGAATTTTCAATTGCTTACTCTAATGTGTCACAGACAATAAAAACCCAAAACCTTATTAATAATTTTATTAAAAGAGCACATTCATTTTGTGTAAATTAGCACATCACACATTGTCTTCATCTGGAAACATCAAGAATCCTTGACATTTAACATGGCAGTGATAGGCAATATGTTTCAATATATGTACCTAAAAGGAACCTGGTTCAGTTTCATTGCGCACCAATTTGTGTTAAAAGTAAAACAATATACAGAATCTATCCCCAAACTCTAAAATTAATCATTTAAAAAGCAGTCTAAATATATTTTAGTTGTTAAACCCAGTGTGGCCCCTTGTCCCTTTAGGTGCCATTTTGGAATTTACTATATTTTCATAATAAAACATAGGAATCTGCGGTCACTGATATTTCATTTCATTTCTACTAGCCAATAGGCTGGGTTTCCCTTACGAGCCAATCATATGCCTCCTTGTGTCCTTGCTGCAGCAAAAGTTTTCCAACCTTGTCTCGACATTCCGCATGGTATCTGTTCAGCCAATCAATCTGTAAAAAACAAGCGATCATATGAAGAATATGAGAGAGGGGGTAGGGATAAGAAAAGAAATAAGGGTAGACCACAGGGTAGCAAGCAAGAGGGGAGGGAAAGCGGGAGGGTGGGAGAGAGAAGGTAGAGAGAGGGGAGAGAGACGGTGAGAGGAGAGGAGAGGAGAGTAGAGACAGGGAGAGAGGAGGACAGGAGAGGAGAGGAGAGGAGAGGAGAGGACAGGAGAGGAGAGGAGAGGAGAGGAGAGGAGAGGAGAGGAGAGGAGAGGAGAGGAGAGGAGAGGAGAGAGAGAGGAGGAGGGGATAGAGAGAGAGAGAAGGGGAGGGGGATAGAGAGAGAGAGAGGGAGGGTGATAGAGTGAGAGAGAGAGAGAGAGGGAGGGTGATAGAGTGAGAGAGGGAGAGAGGGAGAGAGAGAGAGAGAGAGAGAGAGAGAGAGAGAGAGAGAGAGGGAGGGAGAGAGGGAGGGAGGGAGGGAAGGGAGGGAGGGAGGGAAGGAGGGAGGAGAGGGAGGGAGGGAGGGAAGGGAGGGAGGGAGGGAGGGAGAGGGAGTGAGAGGGAGGGAGAGAGGGAGAGAGGGAGAGAGAGGGAGGGGGATAGAGAGAGAGGGGGTAGAAAGAGAAGAGAGGGGGGTAGAGACAGAGAGGGGAGAGAGAGAGAGAGAAGAGAGGAGAGACAGAGAGAGAGAGAGGGGGGTAAGAGACAGAGAGAGAGAGAGAGAGGGGGATAGAGAGAGAGGGGGGTAGCAAGAGAGGGGGGTAGAGAGAGAAAGAGGGGGTAGAGAGAGAGCAGAGGAGGGGTAGAAAGAATGAAGGGCGGGTAGAGAGAAGAGAGAGAGAGGGGGGGATAACGAGGAGGAAAGAGGCGGGGGGATAGAGAGCAGAGAGGGAGACGCCGGGGATAAGAGAGAGAGGGGGGGTAGAGATAGTGAGGGTAGAGAGAGAGAAGGGGGTAGAAAGAGAGAGAGGGGAGGCGAGGGGAGGGAGGGACGGGGCAGGGAGGGAGAGACAGGGAGGGAAGGGAGAGAGGGAAGGGAGGGATGAGAGAGACAGAGAGAGAGAAAGAAGGAGGGGGGGATAGAAAGAAGAGAGAGGGGGTGGGGAGAAAATCGAGA